AGAACAAATCAACTGTCTTCATTTTTTGAAAAATTTATCATGTCTCAGGCGTCAGGGAATTTTCAAGGAATCTACAGATCATCTCTACAATGCAGCCACTCAAGAGAGGGAAACCACATTGAACCAACTTCTCATAGAGCTTGATGGATTTGATACCGGAAAAGGTGTTATATTTTTGGCTGCTACAAATAGAAGAGATTTGTTAGACCCGGCACTTCTCCGACCTGGTCGTTTCGATCGGAAGGTTCGGTTTTTCGGTTTTTCGCTTCATGAAAGTAACTGCTAGTTTCTCTGCCTATGGAAATGAACTCAGAAAGATATCTAGTGTTTTTCTAATACTCATGAAATGAACTGTTTTTTAAGGCATGGCATCATTTAAGAATTTGAACATCTGCATTTCTTGTTATTGTTGAAATTATAGTACAAATATTGGTGGTTCCAAGACTATTCATGATGATATTGATTATTTTCTTAACTTTTAGAGGTTGGGTAAACAAACATTTTCCACTGCTAATGTCCTCTTTTGTGTTCATATAGATAAATGGAAAATACTGATCTGAGTAAACATCACATTAGAGAATGATAGAAGACTGATTCTATATCTTAACTTTCTTGGGGCATTCTTGTGTAGATAAAAATTCGCCCCCCAGGTGCGAAAGGGAGACTCGATATCTTGAAAATTCATGCAAGCAAAGTGAATATGTCAGACTCTGTTGATCTAAGCATCTACTCACAGAACCTACCTGGTTCGTTCTTCTTGTGCTCTTTATATCGATCTGTAACTTCGTTTCTTGAAAAGGCATATTGAATTATCAGGTTGGACGGGAGCAAGGTTGGCTCAACTTGTCCAGGAAGCTGCTCTTGTTGCTGTGAGGAAAGGGCATGGATCTATTGTTCAGTCAGACATGGACGATGCAGTTGACAGGCTTACGGTTGGACCAAGACGCATCGGCATAGAGCTAGGTCATGAGGGACAATGCCGGAGAGCTACCACAGAAATGGGTGTTGCTATGACTTCACATCTGCTTAGGAGATATGAGAATGCAACAGTTGAATGCTGTGATCGCATTTCGATCATTCCCCGCGGTCAGGTCTGCAAATGCTTCCTTATTTTATCCTTGTGGTCAAATTTACTTAGTTTATTTCATATCGTTCATAGGAGTACTACAGGCAGACTGGTTTTTGGCTGAAACGGGTTTTTTTTGCCAGCCTTTGCTTTCAAATGGACTTTGGTTTCTTATCTAAGAGAAATATTATCTGCAGACATTGTCACAAGTTGTGTTTCATCGGCTTGACGACGAATCATACATGTTTGAGCGACGACCACAGTTACTTCACCGTCTCCAGGTTCACTAATCTCAAACTCAGCATGCCGGTTCAGATTATAACTTTGCCAGTATTAACTTGCACATATTCCTTTTCGATCATCTGAAATGTTTAATGCAAATGCTCTTCCTCCTGTAGGTTTTACTAGGAGGCCGAGCTGCGGAGGAGGTCATTTATGGGCGAGACACATCAAAGGCATCGGTTAGCTATCTTGCCGATGCTTCTTGGCTTGCTCGTAAAATTTTAACAATGTAAGTTAAACGTCCTTAATTTCGAATTGCTTTAATATGCTCCCGCTCACTCTTATGTCATTCGCTAACATTGGTGGTTGCTTCTCTTCTGTAGTTGGAATTTGGAGAATCCCATGGTGATACATGGCGAGCCACCACCATGGATGAAGAAAGTGAAGTTTGTTGGTCCAAGGTTGGATTTCGAAGGCTCTCTCTATGACGACTACGATTTAACTGAACCCCCACTGAATTTCAATTTAGACGACGAAGTTGCTCGGAGAACTGAAGAGCTGATACGTGACATGTATGATAGAACGCTGGCTCTGCTCCAGAGGCACCACGCAGCGTTGCTTAAAGCCGTGAAGGTTAGATATTTCATAATAGAAACTCGTTTTTTATTCATATTGCAGAACAGTTACAATATTACAATATCACAAACGCGTAGCTATTTCATACTTCGGTGGAAACGAAACGATCTAGTTTTCCGTTTTCTGCTCCGTTTCTGACTTTAAAGCTCTGCCTGGAACTGAATTGCAGGTTCTTGTCAATCAAGAGGAAATAAGGGGTGAAGAAATTGACTTCATACTAAACAATTACCCTCCACAAACACCTGTTAGTGTTCTTCTGCAAGAGGAAAATCCCGGAAGCCTTCCATTTGTAAGACTGGAACAAGAACAAGAACGTGAACGTGATTTCGAGTATGCTGTCATTGCTCAGTCAACAACCGAGGCCCGAGAATGATGCAAAATCTGTAAAGTGAAATTGGCTGATGATGAGAGGTTCCATGACCTTCTTGTTCTTGAAAATGGCTGCTTGCTTCATGTGCTTTGGCCCTCCATCAAAATTTTGAAGTTTGAAAGATGGCAGCAGCTAAATCATGAGATGGAACAGATTTTGCTTGAAAGACAGAATTCACCCTCTAAAAATTTTCATTTTTTATTAGGCAAATGTTCATAGGTGAAATTTGCAGATTATTAGTTCTAAATTATATATCCATATGTGAGTTTCCACATTTATTCTATTTTGTTCTTCAGACTTTCTTCCATATTCATTCTGGTTTCTGCCATTAAATTTTTATATTGCATTAAAAAAACCTCAGTTACCTAAATTTTATATAGACAAGATGTTTGTTTAAGGTACATTGATTACAAAGTTTTAAAGGTTGATCAGGACGAAAATATTGAGATCTTAATTTTATGAAAATAGAATTATGGATAAAATATCGGTATTTTTAAAAATAATAAAAGTAAAAAAATTCATGAAAATATTTAAATGAACAAATAGGTATTTCTTCTCTTTTAACTAAGTACAAATTTATAATTATATATTATATCCATATTAATGATATTTTGTTGATATTTTTTATAATATTGTCGATTCCGATATTATGAAAATGACATGAAAATAATTTTTTTATATGAAGTTTATAGATTAAAATATAATATTCGAAATAATAAAGATGAAAATAAACCAGTAACAAAATTAGATTTAAATCCAATCATTACCATTACTTTGTTCTGAAGGAACCAATCAAAATTCGAAACATATCATATTTTTTACCACTTTTATAATGACATTGAAATAACTCAAAATACTTATTCATAATAACTAAAACAAAACTAAAGACCTCAGCATTAACTTAAAAAAAAAAGGCATAATTTTTAAAAAACAAAAAATAGTTGTATAATCGTTGATTATTAAGAATAGTACAATCCCAATTACCAGCCAAACAATATCTTAATTATTTCATTAATTAATATTAATAATAATACGTTATAGAAGAAAACGAGGGCGAGATTACCAAATAGCCCCCCACGATTAACAGACTGAGAGAGAAGTTTCACACGTACGAAAATTTTGGTTTCACTGGTTTGTTACGAAACGGCTCACGGGTCGCTAACCCAAAACCTCCACCTCCTCCTCATCGGACGCCTCCTTCCGCCCCTCCGATTCCCCATAATCTCCGATTCCGCCACCGGAGATCATTTCCCGGGCCTCATCTCCGGCGCCGGCGAACGCATTCATGCTCGAAACTCGACAGTTGACCATTTATTGCTCTGTTAAGGTTCTCACCTGCGACGGCGCGTTTACTCACCTCCCGCTGAACCCGACGCCACGGATTTCCTAGGGTTTCATGTTCTGTGAGGTTGAAGGCCGCGATACAGAGGCTTTCATGTCGTTTGAATGGAGATTGCCTCTGCTGCCACCATTGCCTTGTCGTCACAACCCTTTCCCATAGCTGCGATTGTTACGTTTCTTTGTTTTCTTCTCGCTCTTTTCGCCGCCGTTCACATTAGGAGGGCGAAAGCGCTGCAATCGGTGGGCGAGGGCGGTCTTTCTGACTCATTGGTGGGTGCAAGGAATTGTGATTGTACCTGTTCGCTTAACGGTGGTGTGGTTATTGGGGGTTCCGACCCCAGGGCTTCGATTACTTCTTCAGCCAGGACGAGTATGCCTTATTTGAACGGCCGTGTAGTGGAAGTGTTGGAGAAGGCACCGGTGGTCGTGACGGAGCGGCAGACGGGCGCTTCGATGATGGAGCAGTTGGTTCCGGAGATTACTACGCACGCTCTTAGTTACTTGGATTATCCCAGTCTGTGCCGTTTGTCCATGACTAATTCGTTGATGCGCAAGGCAGCGAATGATGATAATGCCTGGAAGGCGCTTTATCATAAGGTGCGGGTTTGAATTAATCTTCTTTTGTACGGTTTTCGTCTGAACTGGTGGAGTTTCGGTAAATCGTTTTTCTTCTGGAAGATGAGTCTTGGGAACAAATACGATGCGAATTTAGAGTTGTGTACTAGGCAATTTGCAAAGAGTTTTACTGCCACCATCTCGTCTACATTTACTGAATTATGTCAACGTCTATTTGTAATTCTCGAGACGAACAAATTGACAGCATTAACTTTTATCTTTCAAGTAATGTAATCTTTTCAGTTTATGGCTTGCTCCCACAGTTCTTGGAGTGGCAAGAGCTATAGCTGTGCTCTACATTTGTGTACTATCTTAGATGTTTAAATCTATTTAGGATTCTCTGGGGCTGAAATTACATTTTTCTTGAAATCTTTTAGGACTTCACACTGGAACAGGATACTGTAACTCCAACAAACGGGTGGAAGGCTTATTATGCTGCAACAAGAACAATTATGAATGTCAATGCCCAATTCTTTAACATCGTCAGAGAGAGGTCTCTTCAAGCGATGAGTCATTTTTGGTTGAATGCAGATTACGTGAAGTGTATTCATGCCTCAGGAGAATTCTTTTCTGGGTATTTACCTTTGTTTGTCTCTCTCCATTAATTTAGCTTTATCATCATTACCATGCTATCTGACTGCTGCTTTATATGGCTGATAAAATTAGCAAACATGTCTAACAGCTGTTTATTTTAGACTTATGGGCTTTGATTATATGACTCTTGTTATTGTCTCACTTATCAGATCTTTACTTATTCTGAGCCTTCAATTAAGAATTATTAGAAAAATACATGAGGCTTATGATTATTGTCAGAATGTATGGGTGCTGAGGGTTATTTGAACGTCTTGAATTTAAGTTTTTCCCTAAGTTAGAACGTTTGAGGACAAAAATTCATGCACTTCGTTGCGACTGGTAATAAGCTTTGACATTGTATATCGTATCACTTGATAAAAATAAAACAATTTTATGAGATCTTGGATAAAGGGTTTTCCTCATGTTTTTGCATGATTTTCTCATTTATTTTGGAAGGGACATCTTTATACACTGAAACATGGGCCAATACAACTATTTGTGGTGGACCAATGCTGCATTATGAACTCTGTTCTTTGAATCTGCTAATCTAAGTGTTTCTTGAGGGAAATATTCTGGCCATGTACATGGCTAGCTACTTCATATGATTAATGATATTTTGAAGAATATTGCTTGTTTTGTTAGGATCATATGATATTTTGAAGAATATTGCTTGTATTTTGTTAGGATCATATTAAGTTGACTTACTGGGCTACCTTTAATGAAAGCAAATATGTTCGCTTAAATGTGAAGCTGTGAGGAATGAGAATGCAGAATGTATCCATTTAGATTAGATGATATATAATTATAAGTATGTGATTTTATCTTTCTGCCTCTTAGGGTTTTTTGCATGATCAACAAAGCCGTTTTAGTGGTGAATTAAGGGATTCAAAGTGAACTTGTGATGTGTCTATATATGGATGGTTTGATGTAAATACTTGATCTATAAAAAGATTATTAATGTATGTTATTTTATTCAATAGCTCTATGAATTCCTGTTATATAGCTTTCAAATAAAATAAATTTACATAATTAGGTACTTACCATGTTCATGCTTCCTTATACAGGTATAATGCAGTAATTCAGAGCTGGCAGCTTGCGTTTAATTGGGAACAAGGGATTAATTTTCAGGTGCGTGATGCACGGGCTCGTGTCCTTTCAGACATGGCCTGGGTTAGCATGAAAACCTATGTCGACATGGATACAGGACCATTCAATGTGACTAACATCTACGAGTTCCATAACGGTCGATGGTACATGGTTCATCATCACAGCTCTGTGATGCTTATTGATGGAGAGGTGGAACAACAAATGGTGCAGGGATAACAGAGCAAAGCAAAGATAGAAGAGAAAGTAAACCATGGAAATATACAATACTAGGTACAAAGATTAGGTGTTGTCTGGTAGCAGAAGCAAGATTTTAAAGATTTCTTGTCCAATTACTCTTAAATCAACACCATTTTAACTGTTCCAACATCAGTTTTGCTTGATCTATGTTGATTGCTCTCCCTTTTCTCTCAATAGTTTTGGTACCTAATTCTTTTGTTGATTCATAGCTTTCAGGAATTCAATCCCCCTTCAAAATTCGATCCTTGGAAGTATGTAAATGAGAAGTTTAGAAGTACTTTTCCATAGTTTGCTTCATGCGAACAAGAAAAAAACTTATAAAATGGTACGGAATTTAGTAGGGTCAGGCAGTTGGCCCGTGAATAGTCGAGGTGTGCACAAGCTGATCCAGACACACGGATTTTAAAAGGAAAAAAAAAAGGTATGGAATTTTGAACGAAGTAATGCAAATGTGTGTAAGCTTTGCTGTTCAGTAATGTCCACAATGCCTTTTGCCAATTAACAACATTGAGACACAAAAGCATAGGTCAATATGGCTTGTGGAATTGTTCTTTTTTCATTTACAATATCTTCTTTTATGTTCAAGTCGCAAACAACTTGCTAGATGTTTTTTAAAATTTAAAGGCTTCTTATGTACCATATTGAAAGTTTAAAAGTTTATTAGATACTTTTTAAAGTTTGGATAATGGTCAATAAATCTAACTATAACTTGAACCGATTCAACCTTCACTCGCCGCCCAGAGGCTCTTCAAAGGAAACCAAGAACATTGAAGGAAAAAATAAAATGGAAACCAAGAAAAATGAAAATTGAAAAATGGGAACTTCAAAATTCATGAAAAAGATTTGCAATCGAGTTGGAATTCTCTCAGCCTCTCGTTCTCGAGAGCAATAGTGGGCAATGGGCATGAATGCTTTGCGCCAATTATCTTGTTGCTCTGTCGCCTGTTGTCCTGTGTCCACCACGCACAGATGGGAACTGCGCTTCTCTCAGTTCCTGCCCCTCGCCCAACTCCATTCTTCCATTGCTCATATGGTACCACTCCCAGATGGACCTATGGATCCACAACTTCACTTGGGTTTTCATCATCTAGACGCATCAGCTTCCTGTCTTCGTCTTCATCTTCTTCTTCAGCTTCTGTTGTAGACGAACAAACAAATTCTTCTCCCCCAGATGAACTCTCTCTTCAGTCTGAATCTGACCCAGATGATTCTTCCTTCAGGTATTGGTGATGATAATCCTTCTTTCTATTTGCAACTCACTCCAATGAAAGAAGGGTTGGATTGTGAAAACTTTAATTCCATGGTTGTGTGTTCGTCTTCTTCCATTAAATTTATGTTTTCAGTTTGGTTGATGTTTGATAGTCTGCTCGAGTGAGTGAATAGTGAGTGGCAGTTTCATTTATCTGTTATTGTAGCCATGCGAACTCTGTTAGAACATTCGCCTCTTGGAATTTGGATTTTTAGATGTTAATGGATGGAGGGGCTTTAGCATTTGGTAAATAAAAGAGGATGAAAATCCTAGTTGACGAGTGTTGCTCTAGTTGAGGAGGTTTTTGAACACATTTGATTATCATCCAGAAAATTTCCTTTAAATTTTTAGTTTTCTTCTTGACCACTTACCCTTATGGTCACTCATGCTCTAGTTGATGAGTTATATATATCTTTCATCATTTGAAAAAGTTACTTTATGAGGGCAAACATGGGCCATTTTTCCATGCCCCTTCTAGACTAGTTAAACAAACAAGATGTGGGAAGAACAAAATAACCTCTAGGCTCCCTCTGTTCATACTATATCCTATTTTGGTGTTATTATCTGAGAACAAGCTGGCAGTGAAGAAGACTTGGGTCAGCCATGAAGGTCATTGGCAGCCCATCCAGAGCTCTGCATGTTCCTCCATTTCTCTCGTTCTTAGCTCTTACCTATAGAATGCCATGTATTTAAGTGTGTAATTGATATGAATTTATTTTTCCCCTAATCCTTGGTGAAATTAGTAGAAAGGTTCATGTCAAACCACATCTGGAGTTTCTTAAAACCATCATTTTGGATGCATGTTTTCAAGTCATTTTCACTTTGTATGTTAACATCTGAGTTCTGTTCTGCCTGTGCCTGCCTTCAGTTATGATAATGGTAGTGTCGACGATATGGCTTAGAACGAGTTTGTTTTCTGTTGCATTTTCCATAAGCAGAGGGTGTAAGGCCTGTGGAAAGGAGGAGATTGAGAGGGGATGCAATGAGGAGGGAAGGATACAAGGTGGCATTGCAACAGTTCCAGGCTTTGGTTGGTGGCCTATAAAGGCATACAGGCCTTGTCCTGGATTTGTAGCATCTGGTGGCAGATATAAGAGGCGTGGACAAAGCATGGACGAGGTTGCGTCTGGAGGAGGGAGGACAGACGCCTCAGTGGGTGCTAGAAGAAAGAACTCGTTGAGGTACAAGCCAGCCAAGTATCCCTTTTTCTTGTAAAGTAAATTCTTACGTTTGCCTTCACAGCTCATAATAGTGCAATCTAACATTTTTCTTTTGTGTACTGACTTTAAAAATAGCCAAAACTAAATGCTTGGCACCAATTTAGCGAACTTGCTCAGGCTGTCCATATAACAATAGATGACATAATAGAATTTAGGTTTAAATCCTATTTTGGTCTAGTACTTTTAGCTTTTGTTCGTTTTAGTTCATGTACTTTCAAAACATTTATTTTGGTCTATTTTGGTTCATGTACTTTCAAAATAGCTATTTTAGTTCTATGTACTTTTACAATATGGATCATTCTGGTCTATTTGTTTTCTTTTTGTCTCATTTGTCTCACTTTAATTTCAGCACCACACTCAGCTCAATAAATTTCTTAAAATAGTCTCTTAGCTTTATATTCAAAAGTTTTCATTTTGTGAAAAAATTGTATTAGGAATTAGGATTTGCAAGGGACCAAAACACTCCCTTTTTTAAAAATGTGGAGCTTAAAATAGACAAAAGTTGAAATTACAGGGACAAAAAGAATTTTTCAAAAGTTTATAGACTAGAATAGATATACGTTGAAAGTTGAAAGTACAAGAACTAAAATATGATTAAACCTAAAATTTACATTAGCCTATTAACCATTTTAATAGGCTACTACTGTTCAGTTCAGCTCAGTCTGATGAGAAGAGAATAGCTACTCCCACCCACCTTTCTTTGGCTGGGCGAGACATAAAGTAAGATATCAATATCAGGACACTGTCTGGTTGTAAGAGATTTAGCATAAACTTCATTTGAATTACTGCTAACATCTGCATACTCCTCGGTTTGCCGAATATGGGATAGGCCTTTTGATAGTGAAAACATATGCGAGGATGGATAAAACGAGTAGGAACAGTTAGTTAAAGGAGAGAATGTAATTGCGTCAAACAGGCTGCTATGTGTAGTGAGCCTTAGGCAACCATGTGCAGTGCAGTAGGAGAGCAAGGCCATCTCAAACGCCCATGGTGCTTTCGTAGTCGGTTTCTGGGCTACCGATAAAATCATCTCTCGTTTGCTTCATTTCAATGTGCTTGTTCTTTTATGCTGATAGGGAGAGAATGTAGCCATTAATTTGCATAATGTGAACAAACTTCTCATCATTGTGGTCGAGAAACTTCCCAGTTGTTTTTCTGGAATTTCGTTCATATTTTACTTTTGAGTAATGATATTGATTTATTCATTTCGTATTGTATTCTTTCGTCCAGCAAGAAAAAGTCGGGTACCGGGACGAGTTAAGGGCTAAGTTAACTTTGCCAGGCTTACCACCCCCACAAGTTGATGCATACACAGAGAGGAAATGAAGGATGGATGATGCAGAATTTGTTTATATGGAAATACCAGAGTGAAAGGGTGTGTTCTCATTGTTCTAAGCATTACATGTCAAGAACTTCTCAAAGGGATTTTGATTGAAATGGCTAGATTCTCATTTCTTAGGCTTCTCTAATGATACCAACAAGACTGCATCACAAAGCACAGATTTTTTTTTATTTTTTTTTTCATTCTTTGCGGAATATTGTTTCTTTGGCTCTTGCAAATGGAAAACTAAGCCTTTCTATCTGATCATTTTACACGAAAGATAACATGAGCTATCTTATCTGGTTTAAGTATAAAAACTTGCCGCGAGTTTAGAGGTTAGATGTTCAAATCTTCATCTCATGTATTGTTGAAAAAACTTAAAAAAAAAAAGAAAAAAAGAAAAATTATGCTAGTGTAAAAACTTTGAACGTTTTGTGCATTCTAATGAGTAGAAACATTGGCTTATTATTTAGGCCTTCCCTACCTTGTTTTTCTGAATTCTAGCTTCCTTGGCTTGCATTTGAACATAGTTCTTAAACACTCCACTAAAATTATGAGGTTTAAAATGTCGAACTCGTGCTCCAAATGTCCTCTAAGAATTTGAAACACCTTAAACTTGTAYGCATGTTCCAGACGTCCTTTAAGAATTTGAACCAACCTAAACTTGCACCTGAACATAGTTATCGAACTTGTGCTTCAAACATTATCTATAGAGTTTAAAATTTGGTCTTGAAACTTTCAAATATTCTATTCATTCCTAATTTTTGTGAAAAAAAAAATCATTTTAGGTTTGGTTGGTAAAACTTTTAAGATTGTATATATTTGGTGTTCGTACTTTTTTTAATATGATCGAATTAACACATGTTGTATACTTCTCAAATTTATAAAAGTGACCATGATCAAAATGATTATTATTTAATATTTCAAATATTAAAATACTTAAATACATAAATTTAAAGTTTACATGCTGACTAAAATAAATAAATATATATTATCAAATTTTAAAATTAAAATAAAAAACATTAACGTAATATGAAAATCTGTATTTATGCTATATTTGGAAAAATGAAAAGTTGCGATATTTTTTAAAATAGGAATTATTTTCTCTTTCTTTTTGCTCTTTCATTTTTTCCCTAATCGGAAGTTAGTTTTAAAGATATCGCTGAGCTCAGCTTACACTAAGAACGCAAACTTTCCCCAAATTTTGTTGTTCTTCTGACGCTTTCTGCTGAATTCACTCTCCTTTCTACCAGAAATCGACGGAGATGGATGCCGATATTCAACGTAGAATCAAGGAAACCGTCCGCAACATTCTTGAATCTTCCGACATGGACGAGATGACCGAGTCCAAGATTCGAACCCTCGCCTCCAAAGAGCTCGATCTCGACCTCTCAAGATCCTCCTACAAGGCTCTGGTTCGCCAGGTCGTGGAATCCTTCCTCGAAGAACGAGCTGAAGAACAGCCGCAGGAGGAGCAAGAAGGTGCCCCTGCTAAGGAGAAGGAGTACGACGACGACGGCGATCTCGTTGTTTGTTGGGTTTGTTTTAGCTAAACTCTTACTCTTCTCATGCTTAGTGGCTTGAGGTTTCGATTTCTTCGATTTGTGGTGAAAATTTGGCGATTATAAGTTTTGATTGATGTGTTTGTGGTGGAATTTGAAAATATGGTGTTCGTGTTCCTTGACGCAGTTATCGAGCAAGAGGAAGGTGACGATTCAGGATTTTAGAGGGAAAACTCTGGTTTCGATTAGGGAGTTTTACAGGAAGGATGACAAAGATCTCCCTACGGCTAAAGGTGATTGTCCTAATGCTAATTGCTTGCTGTTTATAAAATTTTGTATGTTAATATTACTTTCAGAGACTGTAATTTCGGCAAAAGTCTTATTATATTTGTGCTTCTTGTTCGATATTGTGAAGATGATGTACATTCTACTGCTCCGTAATCACACCACACTCAACCATGCCATGATGCATTGAGAAGCTTTACTAAATTGAATCCTACCAATGAAGCAAATGTTGGTGAATTAGAAGTAAGAACAACACAATTGTTGGACTAATGACATGGGGAAAGTGATAAGATAATAATCATTGAACATGAACGCTTTACTGAGGCTAAATGAGCAACCATGGCCACACATTTGATTTCTGAGGCTTGTATGAGTTTAATTCTTATAAAGCAAAAATTGTAGGGCGCATCACGGATTTGTTTTTTGATCAAACTTATATAATTTTTGCTTTCTGCATTGGAAATGGACTAATTATATTGGTATTATTTTTCCCTCAGGAATAAGCTTGACCGAGGAACAGTGGTCTGTCTTTAAAAAGAATGTACCCGACATAGAGAAAGCTATTAAGAATATGCAATCACGAATAATGTGAAGTTATCATATGGTGGACGGTGGTCGATGGTTTGAAGCCATGATGCTGTGTGTCTACTGAAGCCATATTTATCACCATGAAAAGGGGAAGGGGTTTTCATTTTGGGAATTGCTGCAGTTTCTTGACTGCAGAATATTTTGGTATTTTGGTACTTCTGTTTCGAGCCTAGACTGCTGACACTCATAAAACTTTAAAGTGCCTGTACTTTCAAAGCATCAAAGTGGTCAACTATGGTATAGATTCACCATCACCAGAGCTCATAATGATGAAAAGTCTCTTATCTAGTTGTTTCATGCTCGAAAGCACGTGACATAAATGTATGTGTGTGCTATCCGAGCCATGTCATTGAAGGTTAATTATCTTTGACATTCGATAATGAACTGATTCGATTTTAGGAGACTGAAATTAGGCTGTGACTACATATATATCGTGCTCTAAATTTTGCAGGTTTGTTTCAGGAATTATTATCATGCTCTAAAGTCTAAACCCAGAACAGCTTGCTGCATTCCGCAAAGATACCCCTATTCATTTTATGGTGTTTGTGTATCTATTTTCAGCATTATTTCCAGGTTTTTAAATTTCTCATGGACTTGTCGTTTTATTTGGATTGTAATATTGTTTCCTAGGCTTTCTGTTCTGGAATGAGGAATCTCCACACTTCATACTTCATTTTAACCATGGAATAAGAAAACAAGGGTACATTCTCTGTTTCTCTATTGACTTTATTTTATTATTATTTTTATTTTTCTCTGTGACTTATGAATTACTTTGGCAATGAAAAAAGAAGCATATATAACATATTAGCTTCTTGGCTTTGAACTGTCTATGTTTAGATTTATTTGGATTTATCTGATTGTGTTGCTTGAAGCCTTGAGATATAAATAATGCAAAATGAGATCAATTCTTTGAAGACTTAGTCTTGCCTTTTTTCTGATTTTCGTAAACATGAGGATGAGAACAGCAATTACTGTGCATTATTTGTTCCAAGACTTAGTCTCTCATCCATACTGTGCGCCATTCATGTTTCTGTCTTGTAAGATTTTATTAGGCATCCTTTGAGAATCTTTAATCTTGCAGAATGTTAGGTATTCAGTTCAGCATCCTCGTGTATGTTCCAGGTGGCTAAAAGGTTTGAGCTTGTTATTTAATATGGGAGGAGCCCACTGATTTCTTGTTTCTCGTTTCTAGTTTTTGAAAAATGTAATCACTGTTCCTATGTTTTATTTCTCAATTTTTAAAGACGTTTTTCAAAATTATGTAGAAATTTTTTAAATAATAAAATCAATTTTTTTGGTTTCTGTTTCAATTTTTTTTCTTCAAAACATAAATAAAAACATTATTTAACACTTCTTACTCATAAGAATGAATAAAACATAAAAATTTTGAATATTTTACCCTTACAAAATAAATTTGTCTATAAATTTTTTTAAAAAAAAATTAAAAGGATAGGAAACAAGAAACAAAAATGATTAGAAAAAGAAAAAAAAATACCAAATGCAGTTATGTTTTATTTATTAAAAAAACGAGAAATTAAAAGATAATAACATTACTAAATGAGCTTTACAATCTCCCAGAAAACACTTTGAGAAGGAAGGGAGAGTCTTTGACTGCCCAAGAAACTACTATTCAAATTTTTCTTCCTTTATTTTGGCTCCCCTTACTCTTTATTTTAGCTCTCATAACCCTTTCTTTAGTAATATGCTGAGTAAGTAGTCACTGAAGATTTGTTTGGTAACGTTCGCTTCTATTTTTTGAGAAATAGATATATTTAGTAATCTTTCTCATTTCGAAAATTTGAAAAACGTTTCCAATAAATAGRCTAAGTTTTGAAAACTACAAAAAGTAGTTTTGATTGTTCCATTGCTATTTTTTGGTGTTAGATTAAATAAAATATATTGTGTGATGAAAATGAGAATGGTTGCCCACATTCATTGGTGAAGGCACATGCTTGCAAGCCCTTACCACTCTCTAGGTCTGTAGTTTGAATCTCCCCTATTATAATAAGGCTAACGCACCAGTCCACCGTGTAGAAACAGAAAATGAGAATGTTACCAAACAAGATTTGATGTTCTTGTTTCAAGACATAGACACCGGTCTCTTTCCATTAATTTCTGTACAGTAGAGGGGAGCTTTCTTCTCCTAGTTAGGGTTGAAAAAAGAGGTACTCTATCTTACCTAAGGCGCAATTATCTAATTACGGTCCCACACTCTGTCAATCAATTCATTCATTTTTTTTTTTAGGTTTATTCATTATCATATCATAAGTGCTAAGGCTTCCCAACTTGCTTCAATTAAGGAATGACGTTGATAGGAAGCTGTTTTCATTCTCTTTGAGATTTTGAATGAATTCATACTTTTTCTCTAACAAGGTTACAACAAGCATGCTTTCCTCCTGTTTGTCATGTGACCTCTCTTGCACCCATTGCAAATACCAATAAATGAAATGAGTAGAGATCGTCCTTCCTTCCATCTTATTTAGACCATCTTATTTAGCCTCCCTATGAAGTCTAATTTGAAAATATATAAGAAGTATTATGGATGTTTTGTTTATAATTGTCGATATATAATCGAACTTGTTCAACCCAAACCTACATGAAAGTAGTAAAGTAAAGTTTTCAAAAAGAGACCACTTGTTCAAATTCTATGATGGTTACCTACCTTAAGAATTAATTTCTATATGTTTTCCAGCATCAAAATCCTGTGAGATTAGTCGAGGTGTGCATGAGCTAGCTCGGATACTAACGATTATCAAAAAGAAAAAAAAACTGACAAGGAATAGCCTGAAATTGGGAAGTACAACATGTGGGGATGGGGGATCGAACTCACAACCTCATGGTTGGAAGTATATGTCAATTACTACTCAGTTGATTTTTGGTTAAAAAGACTTTTTGTTCTCAGTTTTTCATTGAAGTAACAATTTAGTCTTTGAATTTAATTTGTAATGATTTAGTTCCCGTATTTTTTAACTAATTACAATTTAGCTCCTAAACTTTAGTATGTAACAATTTAATTCATGCCGATTAATATTTGTAACCATTTAGCCTCTACTATGAAAATCTCATCAAAATTAAATCTATTTTTATGATATAATAATTTAGTTTTTGTAATTTATAAACACATTTAGTCTCTCATCAATTTGTCTCCATATATATAAGAAATCTTATCAAATCTCAACAAAAATTTTGATAGGGACTAAATCTTTCAAAGTTTTAAGTACATAGACTAAATTGTTATGTATTAAAATTCATTAACTAAATTGTTATCAATTTGAAAGTACAAGAATTTAATAACCGTCGGTCAGATCGTCTGTCGAATACCCAACCTACAAACAGAAGGTCTTACTACCGCATCAAGCTCGAGATATTAGAGTCGAACTTAAACTAACTTGAGCGTTAGAGTGTTTATCTCTCTTGTGCAGATCTTTCCTAACCAAAAACACTAAAGTTCTTTCCTGTCAGCCTACCTTAATTAGGTTCGACCTTAAATCGACTCTGTTACACAAACACCATGTTAGACACATCATTATAGGGAAAAGCTTGACCCACTAATGCATTGAATCTACATATGAATTTGAGAACATAATGTTTTTATTTAATACAATGTGTTGGAAAAGGAATCAATCAAACGTGAGATTCAACACAAATTGTCTGATAAAAACTGCTTCTTTAAATGTCTTTGACTGCCATTACTTTATCTTATCTTTTATTATTCTTATTATTATCATTATTATAATTACCGCTGTTTCTTTTGTTTTGGCCTGTCTTTTTTGTCCTTAAATTATCTTGTCCCTCCAACGGTCCAAATTCACATGTCTCTCTCTCTCTCTCTCTCTCTCTCTCTCTCTCTAGATTTTGAAAAAAAAAGGCACACTCTAAAATGTCTGTTTCTCATCACTAGCACTGCATTTTCTTTGCACTAGGTTTGGTTTTCTCAATAATTTTCTCCATTTTTTCCCTCTTTAGTCTTCATCATCTAAAAAGAGTAGGTGCTTATCTCGTGAATTTTGATAGGAAATTTGAAACAAGTGGTCCTTTTCTGTATTTGGGTTTCCTATAAAAACGTCTATTTTACACACGAGATCTCGTAAATTAGTGATAGAAATCAGATGATATTTGAATTAGAATTATGACCATTGGAAACAGATTGTATGTGATCCGCATCAAATATAGTCAATCAATGCTCAATTTGAGTCATTAATTGATTGGCATAATCGATGTTGATTTCTAAAATTCCCGTTTGAGAGTCATTTCGCTTTTTGTTTTTTATTTTTAAAACTTACTTTCACCTATGTGTTTATTTGTTCTGTTATATAGTTTTTAAAAATATTTTTTTAAGCTGAGACCAAATTTTAAAAACCATGAAAAGTAGTTTTTGTTTTTGAAATTTGGATAAGAATTTCAATATGTTTCTAAGGAAGACAAAAATTTTATTAATAAAATTGTAAAAAAGAAACATAATTTTTAAAAATAGAGAACTAAAACAAAATAGTTAACTGAGGCCACAAAGAAGACTATTTTTGTGCTTCTATAGAATTAGTCATTTTTGCACTTATTGATTTTTGGATGTATTATTTCTTTAATTTTACACTTAAATAAAAGCATTTATCCAATCAACCTGGTTTGATATGATTAGGGTAAGATTTATCATCATTTTATCTTTGCTTTACTTGATTTTATTTTTATCAAATTCAAATTTGATATAATATGGTAATAATGACAATGGGAATCAAAATATTCTTGAAAATGTTACATGACGTCAAAAGGATAAAACGATACCCTTTAGTATTCATGCCTTTTTTTTCTCTTTCCTTTTTAGTTTCCTTTTGTTTTCAAACTTTCACAAATTATTATTATTAGTATTTACATCAACGCAAATTTATTTAGCTTCTTATCATTCAATTTTTTATAATATATTAACAAAAGTCTTGTATGATATTATTTGAATTCATATTTTCAAATCCCGATCCTTGTAATTTAAAAAATGACCTTTAGATGAAAAGTAAAAATTAACAAATATAAATATCAAGTTTTGAGCCTCTAACTTTTACGGAGGTAAATAATGTCTCGACTAACTAAATTATAAATTATTTTGTTTTTTCATATAAGTAAAACAACTTTTCTTTTTTAATTCAATAATACGTGAAAGTGAATATTTGAACTTCTAACTTTCTCACTGATAATATATATCTTAACAAGTTGAGATAAAAAAAAAGTAACTACGAAAAATATATATATATTCTCGACGTGAAGAAAAAGAAAAAGAAAAAGAAAAAGATGATCTTAATATTATTTTTAAATTTAAATGACACTGATTAAACGGTCTTAGATGAATTGAATTCCCCCAATATTCCATCTACGAAAATTTAATTTTTTTAAAAAAATAAGTTCGAATTTTCAGTATAAATATGAGCTCTGAAAGAGCTCCTCCGCCATTAACGACTGCGAAAAAAAGCTTGGGCAATGGGGAACTGTTCTCTCAAAGGAATGACCACCGAATGCGAGAAGCCCATCAGAATCTTAACCGATTCTGGAAACATAATCAATTTCCATGGCGCAAAGCAAGTCCATCAAATCCTCAAGGATTACCCGCCCGCCGCCTACGGCGTTTTCCGGCGCCCCAATCTCTCTTCACCGCTGCCCAATTCGGCGCCCCTCGACGCCGGAAAATCCTACTTTCTCCTACCGCTTTCCCGAGCCGCCGAGAGAGTTCCGAAGGACGACGGAGGGGCGCCGTCGAGGAGGTCCGGCGCGGCGGCGGAGGATCTGGGAGGTGGGTCGGGGGTGGAGGTGCTTCCGGCGGGTGGCGACGGCGTTTGGAGGGTGAAATTGGTGATAGATACGAAACAATTGGAGGAGATTTTGGCGGAGGAAGTGAACACGGAGGCGTTGATTGAGAGAATGAGGGCGGCGGCGGCGGCGGCGACGGAAAGTCCACGGCGGGCGAAGATCGGAGGGTGGAAGCCGGTGCTGGGGAATTGGCTGAAGATTTTTCCAATTGATTTGGGTAACAGTAAAGCACAAATTAAGGATTTTAATTCTGGAAATGGGTGTTTAAATGCAACATAATTAAAAGGGAAAAAAACCAAGAGAAAAGTCCTTTTTTTTGGGGGGGCCAAAGTTTGTGTAAAATGTGATTTTATTTACTTAATTGTGGAAAATGTTTCAGGGTGCTGTAGATATAAGTGTATGTAATGACTCATGATTGACTGAAAGTTTTTTGAATGAGAAATTTTGGGAGTTTTTTTTTTTTTGGGAAATTTAAGTGAATGGCTAAATTTTTTAAAAAATGTCTATTAGTTTTAAATTTTGACAAATAACTAAATGGTATTTTAAGAGTTTTTCCAACCATACCCTTTTTTATGTCTTTTTTAGCTTTTTCTTATATTAAACACGTAACACGAATTCAAAATGATTTTCCTACATTTAAGGGATTTCAAGTTAATTATTTTAATTACATTGTTTTGTATTTCAGTTAATTTAAACCATTTGTGTACAACGATTCATCTCCCATCTCATCGTTCTACAATGTCGTAATCTATAACAAAAGTAAATTAAAAAGTCGAAGACTAACAACCCATAAATCAAAACAATTAGGAAAATAGGTGATGCCTCTAAAATTTGTAGCCTTTGGGCGTGTATCGTCATCAGATTCAGTTTCTTAAACTTCTTTTGACAATGAGTTATTTTTCTTATGTTCATCGGTGGATTCATTATTCACTCTTTCATAGCTCTTCATTAGACTTTGTATTGTCATTTAAACCATTAGAAAATTTATCAAAATTAAAAGGTCAATAAATGTATATACCAATTAAAGAAAAATCAAAATTAGAATTCAATACACATATATATCACCATGAAACTCAATTATGTCAATACATGTTTATACCAATTCAAGAATTAACAAATATCATAAGTAGAATGTTAATACATGTATATACCAATAATTACCTCACTAACACGTTCTTCCTCAACCAGACCCTTTCCTTTTCCTGAAATATATGAGTACAGTTAGCTCAGTGAATCTAATTTGTAAATATTACTGTAAAAATTAACAAACAATAAATATATTAACTACTGCATCTATACACCTTTTTAACTTTCTAAGTTGATTTTGCACGATTCCTTTGAACGTTCTGTTATACCAGTAGCTTTTAATCATTGTCGAGATGTTCCTCCTCTAACTTTTACCATATCTATAGATTCTAATTAAAATTTAAGCTATATAAATATAGTAAGTCTGTTGCAGTTATAGATATATATTTCTCAGATCTAGTTATAAACAAAAGACACATGTCGGTCCCACATTTGTATTTTTTTAAATATCCTAAAATATAGGAAAACCAAAAATATCTTTTTAAATACCCCTAAAATACGCAAAATCTGAACAAATGGTCTTACCTTCCTCAAACAATTGCTAGAAGATGGAAGTTGGGCGGCAGATCGGGAACATATCGAAGCGGTAGTAGGTGGATCTGGTTTGGGTCGGCCTTGGGCGGATCTAGTCAAGCGGTGGGACGGTAGATCTGGTTTGGGACGTGGTGCATCAAGCAGATATGGTACGTGTTGCGGCCAACGGGGAGGGTGGCGATAGTTGGGTGCAGCAGCGACGGGTTTGGTTTTGGTTCGTGGACGGTGGCGTGAAGGTGACTACTTGTGGATCTACTTGTGAGGAAGACGATGGCTGTGGGGTGCATGAAGTTGCTGTGGGGTGCATGAAGTTGCGTGAGACCAAAAGGTAGGAAGGAGGTGGGGACTCCTAAAACCCTAACTTCTCTCAATCAAGTCAAGAGTGAGAAGTAAATTTTATCATTTACCTAGTAATAATCTTATTTATTCCCTTGTTCAAATTTTGATTATCAATTTTAAATTAGATTTAAGTTAATTATTCAAATTTCATTATAGAATTGATTTCCTAAAATGAAGGCCGTTGTTTTTGCTATTAGTTAAAACCCTAAATCCCTAAAATTATGGGTATATACTTAATGACTATATTTGTCTACAAAATATTTTAGAATTTAATGGAAAAAATCAATTATTCATTTCGCAATATTTCATAGGTTTAGACATTTTCTAAAACGCGTTATTAATTTTAGTCCTTCCTGCAATTTCCCTCTTTTTTTTAAGATATAAAGATTGATTTTCTAAAATAATAAAATTCGACTAGATCCAAACAAGATACTAGATAGTGGCACTGATTCTTAATTAGTTTCAATATCAAGCGATTGATTTTCTAGTTCATGCAAATTAGAATGAGTTATTACAATCTACCTTAGATTTTATTTTATGATTTTGTATTATTATAAAAGTGAAAAATCAAGATGGAAAGAAAGAGTTTTTATAAGAAAAGGCACGCGTGAAAATGGAAATCCTAAAATTGTGCTGTAAATGACGCATAAACCAACAAATCCACAATTTCAATAACAAAAATGATAAAAAGAAAACATTTATAGATTTTAAATTTTCAAAAAGATTGAATTGGAATATATTATTAAAGAAAGATGGAAATTTGAAGATATTATTAAAGAAAGATGGAAAGTGGAAAGTGGAAAAAAAAAAAAGGTCATATCCCAGAGTGAGAGAGAGAGAAAAAAAAAGAGAATAAAATAGAGGGCCCTACCGGGTTCGAACCGGTGACCTCTTGATCTGCAGTCAAATGCTCTACCACTGAGCTAAGGACCCATTTTTGAAATCATTTTTCACATTTACAATTTAATTGTTGTTTTGGAAATTATTCACAAAGGAGAACACTTTATTATTTTACTTGTTTTTCAAGTGTGTTCTAAACCAATCCTATTCCATTGTGTTAATAAATTTTTTAATTTTAACAATATTTAATTGATTACTAAATTTTTAATTTTGTGTCTGATATGTCTTGTAAATTGGTAATCAATTAAATACCTTTTACAATTCAAGAATTTACTAGACACGACCTTCGAAGTTAAAAGACTTAATTTAATTTATATAAGAGACTGTTTAGTTAGAGCTACTTCGATAACTAAGTTAGTAATAAATAATCCAATAATTTAAGGATGAATTTTATTATTTATTTTTTAGAGTAGAGTAGGCAAATATGCAATAAAAATTGCAAACTTGATGTTGTAGTTCTTCGAACCATTCAAATTGTGAGCTCAATTTGATAATATGATTTGATTAAACTAAATTTGGATAAAATTTGAACTTCTATTATATTTATGACTTCCCACTTCACTAAAAAGACTTTTCAACCACTACCACTCTCTAGGTGTGACTTCGTATTAGTTCTACATTTCTAGTTAATTCTTTTTCCGTAAAATATGTGGAGGTAAAAATTCAAATTCATGACTTTTCGATAGAAAATAAATGTTTTAATAAGTTGAGTTAGACTCGATTTGATCGTTCTTAGTTAGTTGTTAAAAAGTTTTACAAATATGATGTAAATATTAACATTAAATTACAAATTTAGTCTAGAACTGGTTATATTAAATTTGGAAACTATTTAAGTAAAGATACCAAAATGCACCGTTTTGAGGCTTCCAAAAATATTGAAGATGAAGATTTTTGAAGAACACCTAATTCTAGAATGTTCCTTCCAACGACTTGGTGGTACAGCTGTAAATTTGTTATTCTTTTGTTCTTTAATTTGTCTAAAATATTGAGAATTTATTTTGTATTTAAAGCAGGGCACCATTCATAATTTGACCAAATCTTAGATATTTTTTTTTTAAATAGTGAATAAATTTTAATACTTATTAGTACACTATTGGTCTACCAAAATTTTCAATTTTCTCTGTTGAACTTTCTTTTTAACAAAAAAAAAAAAAAATCTGGAAGAAATCAATATCTTCATTAGGAAAATTAAACTTTTGTTTCTTCCGAACGAGGGAGATGTCCTAACATACGTAATATTAGAAGGGAAGTATTTACGTAAATATATATTTTCAAATAAATTAGAAAGTACTAAAATAATGTAATTTAAAACACACTAAAAATTGTTAAACTTTTTAAAATACGTATTGAATATGTATTATGGAGTGACATTTCTCTATAAGAATATTGACTTACCACCAACGTTATAAATATCCTTTTTTAGAATACCCGTTAATATTTTATATTTCCATTGGAAAAAAGAAAATACAACTTGAAAGAGTCAGAAAACTGGTGGCAGATTCTGAAAGTTATGTAAATTTGACTAAGAAATGTTGAAAAAGATGTATCAACAAATGTGAAAATTTTCAATATTTGGTGCTTTAATACAACTACCCAAATATTGGTTTTTATTTATTATTATTATTATTATTATTATTTTAAGTGCAAATTCAATCAGTTCCACCAGCCATGAATAAAATTGTAATAAAAGGGTTGTTTGTTTGGCTAAAAGGAAAGACAAAGAAAACACACAAAAAATGGAAAACAAAAGCTCATAAGGGAATGACCCATTCACAACCAATCAATGTTTATCACATATTTTGATTTGGAAAATTAAACTTTGGGGAAAAAAATCTCAATCCATTTCAATCTTTATCAACAAGCCAACAACCAAAACTCTGACTTAGATTTTTTTTTTTTATTTGCTAAATTTATTGTTTATGCTATTTTATCACAAAAAAAAAAAAAAAAACACTTCATATCTAACACAAGAAAAAATCATTCGATTCAACTAAAAATTGTGATTCAAAATTGTGATTCGTGTGGGACAACCATGATCGTACTGGCTCGTAAAAACCGTCTACACCTTAATATGATCAAAGGATCGAGAGAGATGCACGGGTATGATATGGGGATAACTCAAATACTTCGTCACCGTTCTATTATTTCATTTTCCAAGCATTATGAATTAAGGATTTCAGGTTCTGAAATATTAGAGACGAAATTAAAACTTTTAAAACATCGACGTGGAAACAAAGGATGAAAACAAGTTCATCTCATACAATACAACTCATTTATTACTACATTACTATTGAAACATTTTCCAACTTCAGCAACTTCTTCCTCAGTACAGTTGTGTACTTTTTTTTCATTCACAACTGAACTTGCCAACACCACCAGCCAGAGCAAAGCAAACACCAACAGTCTGTCTCTATACAGACATTGACATTCTATAGCTTAGAGGAGATGATGATTCTTCATGAATCCAAACTCTCAAAACTCACCACTACGTTATTTTGATCGATCGTCGGTAAATACTATCGACTAATTTGCGTATGCTTGTCGTATACATCTGTGTTAAGTGTATCAACATGTTCTGATGTTCAAGAGGATTGTTCTTCAAATATATCCAGCAGAGAGAGTGCCTGCAAACGTTTACAGAAAGAAGATTAGAGTTGAATTGATGATTTTGATCGGTTTTAACGACGTCTGATCTCGGAGGGGAGATTACCTCCGGAATGTTGAGTTCGAGGCGGAACTTGGGGCCATCGTAGTGGTGAAGAATTGGTCTGAAAGAGTCTTCTTCCAGTGGATCGCATATCTTCCTAGTCATAATTCTCACCTGTTACAAACAGTTGACTTTCAGCTTCTATCCATGGCAATAAAACAATTGATAGAGAAGGCATTATTACCCAACAAGACAAGAACAAGAGTGTTACCTGCGCCGGGAATCGAGATTCGCCAGGGGTTTTCTTGTCTTCCCAGGCAGTCGGATCGATGTTCGTCCCTCCAAAGCTTGCAGCCTAGAGAATGGTTTATAGTTTCATAATAAGTAAGCAAAACAGACAAGTATTGATTGATATATTCAGATTAAAGATCCCTACTGATGAGGCCATGGATCTTGCAGAATTGAACCTAATGGAATAAAGGACACACACCTCAAAGATCCCATGAAGTTGGTGGGTAGAATAGTTGTAAAGGAAAATAGGCAACCCGGGAGTTATGGCCCTGACTGAATCTCTGTACCTTGGAGGCAAACCTAAAACATTGATTTAACAACAGAGAAATCTAAGAACTTCCCTATGCAACAAAAACCAAGATATATCCAAAAACCAAGCAGTCAGATCGCTAAAAATTGAAGAAAGAAGGGAGAAAACTCACCAAAAAGCTGCCTCTTGAGATTCTCTTGCATTGTATCATTGTTGCAGACAAAGATATATCCACCAATTGTTTCATTTCTGGGCAAAGACTCAGATGGGGGAAGGGTCTTGAACCTCTTGTCCAAAGCATTCTTATTAGTTTCCTTATTATCATAGGTATTTTCACCACTATTCTTCTTGTTGCTGTTCTTCTTCCCACTCTTGACCCCATGGTCTTCCTCAACCTTCCCACTGTTCTTGTAGTTCTTCAGATTCACAAAACTGTTACTGTTGTAATTTGGGATTTTGGAGTAAATCCCTTTGTTAAACCCTCCATTAATACCCTTTTGGGGTCCTCCAATCATAGGATCAACCCCCATATTTGCAGAACTAAGCTTCCACCCATCATTGAAGGCATTAAAATCAGACCCCTTAGGCTTAAAACTATTCCACCCATTATCAAACACATTGAGTGCATTCTTGTCATACCCAGTTGAGTTCAGATTACTGCTACTGTTACTCCAATAATTAACATCAGAAGAAGCAGTAGTAGGCTTAAAACTATTCCACCCATCATTGAACCGATTGATATCTGAATCAGACACTTTACCAGGCTTAAAATTGTTCAACGAATTTACCTCTCCACCATTTTGAACATCGAAATTCCTCCTCTCCTCGTGCCTCTTGGAGCCATAAGAGTTGCTCCAAATGGAATCGTTGAGAGAAAGGTTCGCGAGATTCCCAGTCTGAAAACGAAGCTGGTCGCTGAATTGCCTGAACGATTGAGGGTTACTCTCCATCTCTGCAACAAATTCACCTCAGAACTCAGCACCAAACTCGAAGAAATCAAGAACCCAGATAGCAAAATCAGGAACAGGGGAGCAGAAATGAGTGAGAAGAGAAAAGAGAGAGACTTAAATAAAATGGGTATTCGGTAAAAGAGAGGAAGTTTCAAAGAAACAAGGGAGATTGCGTGTGGAAGATGGAAAGAGGGCTCAATTGAAAGGAAGAAATAGACGAAAATAAAGGTTACAGTAGTTGAGCAAATGAGAATGTGACCGAGGCAAAGACGCGCAATCAATTGGAAGAGAGAAGGGAGTGGCGTGGAAGAGAGAGAAATGTGGGGAAGGTTTTTCTAGAAAGCGGGGTTTTCGGTGGGGAAAAATTCGCCATTGATTTGCTTAGTTCCCAAGTTTTTTTTTTTTGTTTTTTTTTTTTTGTTTGAAGATGATGAACATCTCCACGTGATTCCCAAAGTTCCCAACTGCTGCTTTCGTTTGTGTCGTCTTCCATAGTTTTTGACGCGGTCCGTGACTCGTTGGGCCTCATCCCGTGACTGGGCTCGCATTTCTTTTTGTTCTATCCAAGATAGATTAAAGATAATAAAATTTTGGTTAAGCAATTTTAATCTTGATTTATTTTAATTCGTATATTTTGAAAGGTTTATTTCGATAACTATACTTTTAATTTTAGTTGATTTTAGTCTCTGTATTTTGAAATTGTTCATTTTGATCTATATATTTTTAATTTTGGTTCATTTTAGTCCCGATATTTGGAGGATGTTCATTTTGTTCATTGTATTTTTAAAAAGTGATGTTTTTGTCCCACTTCACAAGATTTTAACACAAATTTTATACATAATAGAAACTATTTAGTATAATGTAATATTTACCTTTTAAGGATGAAATTGTGATAGAAAAGATGAAATTTAAAATAAAATAAAACGACCAAAATTGTCACTTTTTAAAAATACAGGGATCAAAATAAATATTTTCAAAATACAAGAATTAAAATAAATTCACTTGCTTGGAGTTGGAGCCACAAGTAGTTGGTGTTTTCATGTGACTAGCTCGTGACTCCAATTTGGTGAGGCACATGCATGCATACATTGAGGTATGGACTTTATCGATCTACAAACCCACTAGATCCCAAGCCTGAGCCTATCTAGTAGGCTCACGACATTAGACTAGTTCGTTGTTTCAAGCTAGAAATGAAGAAAATTTTTAAATACAAAGTGATATTTAATCTGATATGAGTGGTTAACTAAATGATGACATGGTATATTCATTGGACCAGTGGCGACGTGGTAGACATAAAGGAGTTAGATTGTTGGAGTACAAAATAGATGAAATAAAGTGAGATTGCAACCTACTCTTTTTAAGAAGTTAAATCTCTATTATGGACTATGTTATTATATTTTGTCTAGTAGCCTACATTTCTTTACTATTTGTTTGTTACATCATATACTAGATCAGTAAGCTGTGTTATTATTTAGCTAACAATATAAATGATTTAATCACAGTTCAAAATTTAGAGATGTAATGGAAAGTTTTTAAAAGTTAAAGCAGGAAAATAGATTAAATTAGTTATTTAGCCAAAATAATAATAACCTAGTTTTAACAAAAAGTAACATAGTTTTCAATTCTGATTTGATAACTATAATTATTGCCATTGACCAATTCTATGAAAATTGTACTGTGAGAAGGGCAAGTTTGGAAAAGTATGATTTGGAAAGAGAATCCTATCTGAAGTTTTACTTTTAACACCATACAAGCTTGGATTTTTGACCAAAGCATAGGAAGGGATGATGATTTTTCAATCTCTCTTTTCATTTTTCTTGGGTTTTTTTACATAAATGTAGTTGGTATACAAGGTTGGGCTTCAACAAAATATTAGAATTGTGAATTATCTCGTATCGAAAAGATACAAAGATGAGGAATACTAAATGTTATAAAAGGAGTTCATGATTTTGAGTTTTATTTGTCTCAATTGAAATATTATAAACATGGTATACTAGGTCTAGTTAATTGAACGATATTTACTTTGAGGGAGTATTTTGTATAATCTAGACTAGGAAGATAAGTCGGTGTGGTTAAAAAAATTATTCACTTAACTGATTTCCCTTAGTAGATCATGGTCTAAAATTTTCGATTATTTCTCCCTATTCCTGTGGTAGCAATAAGAAGTTCTTTTTTCCATATTAAAAAATAATTATTATAATTTGTAGTTGTAAGATCCCTATCTATTACTTGTGCCTATTTTTAGGCATAATTTTTTTTTTGAAAAGGTTTTTTTGGCATAATTTGGTCTGTGTGGTTATATTGGTAAATCTTGTATTTAAACGTAAATCTAAACATAGTTTAATATAACATACATCATCAATTAAATGAGTGATGGTCGAATGTCTATGCCACGTGTTTAACTCAAAAAAAAAATTGAAACCAACTTAATTGTGTCCAATTCCTATTTTTTAATATCATGTAAAAATTTAAAGGACAAAAATTTAAAATAAATACTTAACTAAGAGATAATTCGATGTAATTTTAAAGAGACTCTTCATTCACATATTTAAAAATTTATGAGGAACATATACGAGCACTTTCTAATAGAAAAACAAAATTACATTTGGTTCATCCACACATCCACGTCCTAATTTGAAAAAATTTACAAATTTTAAGATTGCTTTCTTTCCATTCTGCCATCTAAATAAATCCAATCATTATTAAAAAAAGAAAAAAATTCGTATTCATATATAAAGTCAAAGAATGGAAATCGTAATTGATTTTAGAAATTTTTTTAAGCCAAACTCAGGTTATTCCTCTTCTAATTGGGCCGGGCTCGCAATTAATAAGCCCATTAAAGACTGGAATTAAGATTCATGAAGCCCAATACTTTGTGCAATTACAGATCCAGCAAAGCCCACTGGGCCCTATCTTTCCAGCCCTAATCGGCGAACACAATAAATTAAGAAAATTTTAGAATTTAAGAAAGTTAAAATTTTGTTAAAACTAAAGATAGATACTTAGATTGAATAATTCAATTATAAATTATTGATTTATCAAATTTGATCAATTCACTATAAACATTGACTAAATAATTTTCATTTTAATCAAGTTATAATCCATAATTACTGCATAATCTTTATATTAACTATTTTAAATAACTAATTCATCTAATCTATGTCGACTAACTTTAAAATGTGCATTGTTATTTTAAGAACATGAACGATTTTCTTGAGCAATTTCACTCAATATCCTAACTAATCAAATCATATTTAACTTTTATTTTTTTTCCTACTATGACATAATTAGTGCCACTTTTTTTTTTTTTATTGTTCTATATTGCACTTGAATTTTGAGTTTAATTTACATTATATTTTCCAAATTTTCTATTAAAATAATACATATTTATTTATGTAATTCAGGTAAACATCGCGATTATTTAAATTATTATATAGCTAAAAACCATATTTTATTTTTTATTTTGTATGTCTGTACATATTTCCTTTGGTTTTCTTATTATACTTTGATTTCATGTGGCCCTATTCATCAATCAATCTTGTAAATCATGTGTTTGCATCTTTGGAAATATAATTTCTATTCATAATTATTTTGCCAAAGATAACATACATTTTATTCCATCCATGTCATTCTCTATTATATATTTTGGAGGTTTGGTTATTATCCACACACATTATTTAATTCCATTTATGACCTTTTCTCATAAGCTAATATTGCCTCTTTGTATCAAACAAGGGGGAAATATATACACATGACCCATGACATAGCAAGTTTTGTCTTCAACAAAACATCTACTTAATTTAATTAATACAACTTTATGATCCTCTGAGAGATAAAAAAAAATAAAAAAAAGTTGTTTTCATAAGTTTACCCAATAAACCTACCTCACCCTCTTTTGGTGAAGGTGGTGAATGCATAAATGTCAACCATAAAAATAATATAATACATAAAATAACTAAGTAAATAAATAAGATAACCAACGATAACTAGCTTTTCAATTGATCGAAAGGTGTCTTGCAAGTTTATCGATCATGTCCATTTGTTATTACTATGTAATTCTTAAGAAAATAACATTGAAAGATGTCTGTCGAGTTAGATATGGAAAAGAATGGTATAAAACAAAAACAAATATAACAACACATAGGTTTACATAGAAAACGTTCTTCTTCGAAAAAAAATCATGAACATATATATACAAATATACAGTATTCGCACGATCTCTCAAGTCTATCGAAATTAGATCACTAAAAGTTCACTTTCAAAATTAATTCACTGAAGACCTTAGATCGAGCCTAAATAGAATTTGTGTCCCGAAATTATATGGCGATTTGCAATTTTTCTTGACACACACAAAAAGGAAAAAGGGGAAAAAAGAAAGCTTCATATCTTAGAAGAAGAACACGAATCACACTCTATACTAAGTGGGAAAATATATATATAAATAATGAAACAAAAAGTTGTTCCCTAAGCCTCTATATGTCTTTCTCTCTCTCTCTCTCATATATATTATAGAAACTATAAGATTAATTAAATTAATGTTAACTTTAACACCGACATTAATTAAAAAAACGTTTAAAAAAAAGTAAAAGAAAAGCAAGTTGCTTGGTGGTTGTTCCTGTGGTGGCTGCAGGTGAATGTATGAGGAAGCACATGGGGCAGCCATCAATGTTGATCCAAACACTTCTCTTATTTTCTTTTCATTATCTTTACTTTAATTTAGATCTCTCATTTGATTAATTACATAATTGGGATTAATTTTGGGTTTGTATTCATTGATAAGATATCATATGGTGATCTCTACGATCTCATAAAGTAATGTTTGTTGCTATGTGTGATTGTAAATCATTTGATTGTGTATCTCAATAAGGTTTCAAATGTGTTCATTGTTAAGGACAACAATATGGCAAGTACTCCACGTATCTCCATAATGATATGATATATTGTCCGTTTTGGGCATAACCCGATTTTGTTTTTGTTTCTACCCAAAATGCCTCATACAAACAGAGATAACCTAACAATCCTCCCATCAAATAAAGTACCACTGAGTCTCCTCTCGGAGATCAGAATGAGAGTTTGCTCTTATCCAAGGCTTCTACCACACCTTGATAGAGCACATCCACAGATTACACCATGACTACACCTTTCGAGGCTCACCACTTATTTGTTCGACACCCGAGGATTTATCGACATAGCTAAGTTTAGATCAACAGTACCCCGAGTATTCCACGTATCTCCACAATTGTATGATATTGCCCGCTTTGGACATAGTTCAAAAGGCCTAGCAGATACCAATGAAGATAATTGGTCTTCCTTATAT